AATGAGTCGGGCTACGAGGTAGACTAGCCAGTCTTTACCAGTCCTGCGCAGCTGTCGAAAACAAAGCCAGATGTATGGTTTGCCTCGCGGAGAAGCATAATGGCGCGCTGTTGTCGTAGGCGCCCCAGCACAGCGTGCAAGTGGAGGTGAGTCGAACAAAGAGTTGGACACACCGGGGATTGAGCCCGGGGCCTTCCGCTTGCAAAGCGGACGCGCTACCACTGCGCTATGCGCCCAGCAAATCGATAACCTAACCTCCACCTTCCACACAAATTTATGACGCTCCCACGCGCGATATAGTCACGCATACACATACAGCACATTTGCATGCACTTGCACTATCCTCTACCACCCGCTTCTTGCATCGAATTGCACGTTTGGCCTTCAACTATTCATCACAAGCGCCATCTCTTTGTGTCTCTTTCAATCAAGTTTTCTAGTCATTGTCAAACAAGCGAGTCGTTGGACGTCGAGACTACAACAACACACAAACGGCAAATCGGCGGGGTGGTCGGACGAACTCGACAGATCGTCGATTGTGCCGCTGGCTTCAGTCGACGGTTGAGGGGTGTCTTCTGTTTGATTACTCCGTAAAGCGAGGTTGTTCCGCAATGAGTCGGCCTACGAGGTAGGCTAAGCAGCACTAACCAGTAGTCCTGCGCAGCTGTGGGAACCAGAGCCAGATGTATGGTTTGCCTCGCGGAGAAGCATAATGGCGCGGTGTTGTCGTAGGCGCCCCAGCACAGCGTGCAAGTGGAGGTGAGTCGAACAAAGAGTTGGACACAACGGGGATTGAACAAAGCGGACGCGCTACCACTGCGCTATGCGCCCAGCAAATCGATAACCTAACCTCCACCTTTGACACGAATTTATGACGCCCCCACGCGCGATATAGTCACGCATTCACATACAGCACATTTGCATGCACTTGCACTATCCTCTACCACCCGCTTCTTGCATCGAATTGCACGTTTGGCCTTCAACTATTCATCCAAGCGCCAACAGCGAGATGACTCGTCCAAACAAGTCACCAGCCATCGCCACACACCCAAGTCTTTTGACGTCGAGACTACACCAACACACAAACGGCAAAACCGGCGGGGTGGTAGGACGAACTCGACAGATCGACGATTGTGCCGCTGGCGTCAGTCGACGGTTGAGGGGTGTCTGCTGTTTGACTACGCCGTAAAGCGAGCTTGTCCCGCAATGAGTCGGGCTACGAGGTAGGCTAAGCAGCCCTAACCAGTAGTCCTGCGCAGCTGTTGGAAACAGAGCCAGATGTATGGTTTGCCTCGCGGAGAAGCATAATGGCGCGCTGTTGTCGTAGGCGCCCCAGCACAGCGTGCAAGTGGAGGTGAGTCGAACAAAGAGTTGGACACACCGGGGATTGAACAAAGCGGACGCGCTACCACTGCGCTATGCGCCCAGCAAATCGATAACCTAACCTCCACCTTTGACACGAATTTATGACGCCCCCACGCGCGATATAGTCACGCATTCACATACAGCACATTTGCATGCACTTGCACTATCCTCTACCACCCGCTTCTTGCATCGAATTGCACGTTTGGCCTTCAACTATTCATCCAAGCGCCAACAGCGAGCTGACTCGTCCAAACAAGTCACCAGCCATCGCCAAACACCCGAGTATTTTGACGTCGAGACTACACCAACACACAAACGGCAAAACCGGCGTGGTGGTAGGACGAACTCGACAGATCGACGATTGTGCCGCTGGCTTCAGTCGACGGTTGAGGGGTGTCTGCTGTTTGACTACGCCGTAAAGCGAGCTTGTCCCGCAATGAGTCGGGCTACGAGGTAGGCTAAGCAGCCCTAACCAGTAGTCCTGCGCAGCTGTTGGAGACAGAGTCAGATATATGCTTAATCTCGCGGAGAAGCATAATGGCGCGCTGTTCTCGTAGTCGCTCCAGCACAGCGGGCAAGTGGAGTGTGACTCGCACAAAGAGTAGGACGCACCGTTGATTGAGCAAAGCGGACGCGCTACCACTGCGCTATGCGCCCAGCAAATCGATAACCTAACCTCCACCTTTGACACGAATTTATGACGCCCCCACGCACGATATAGTCACGCATTCACATACAGCACATTTGCATGCACTTGCACTATCTCTCTTCCACCGCGCTTCTTGCATCGAATTGCACGTTTGGCCTTCAACTATTCATCCAAGCGCCAACAGCGAGCTGACTCGTCCAAACAAGTCACCAGCCATCGCCACACACCCGAGTCTTTTGACGTCGAGACGACACCAACACACAAACGGCAAAACCGGCGAGGTGGTAGGACGAACTCGACAGATCGACGATTGTGCCGCTGGCTTCAGTCGACGGTTGAGGGGTGTCTGCTGTTTGACTACGCCGTAAAGCGAGCTTGTCCCGCAATGAGTCGGGTTACGAGGTAGGCTAAGCAGCCCTAACCAGTAGTCCTGCGCAGCTGTTGGAAACAGAGCCAGATGTATGGTTTGCCTCGCGGAGAAGCATAATGGCGCGGTGTTGTCGTAGGCGCCCCAGTACAGCGTGCGAGTGGAGGTGAGTCGAACAAATCGTTGGACACACCGGGGATTGAACCCGGGGCCTTCCGCTTGCAAAGCGGACGCGCTACCACTGCGCTCAGCAAATCGATAACCTAACCTCCACCTTCCACACAAATTTATGACGCCCCCACGCGCGATATAGTCACGCATTCACATACAGCACATATTGCATGCACTTGCACTATCCTCTACCACCCGCTTCTTGCATCGAATTGCAGAATTGGCCTTCAACTATTCATACAAGCGCCAACAGCGAGCTGACTCGTCCAAACAAGTCACCAGCCATCGCCACACACCCGAGTCGTTTGACGTCGAGACTACACCAACACACAAACGGCAAAACCGGCGTGGTGGTAGGACGAACTCGACAGATCGACGATTGTGCCGCTGGCTTCAGTCGACGGTTGAGGGGTGTCTGCTGTTTGACTACGCCGTAAAGCGAGCTTGTCCCGCAATGAGTCGGGCTACGAGGTAGACTAGCCAGTCTTTACCAGTCCTGCGCAGCTGTCGAAAACAAAGCCAGATGTATGGTTTGCCTCGCGGAGAAGCATAATGGCGCGCTGTTGTCGTAGGCGCCCCA